GTTCCAAACGGTTTTTTGTGCAATGTTTAGCTCCTGGGCAATCGAAACAGTGCTTACATGACGGTCGGACTCGACGATTTCCATTATTTTATCGACATTTTCGACAATTGGCCTTCCAGAGCGTGGTGCATCTTTGACATCAAAATTACCGGAACGGAATCGACGAAACCAAAATTGCGTGATATTGACTGTTACAGTATCAAGACCATAAACACTATTCACATTTTCAGCCGCCTGGCTTGCGTTTTCGCCTTTATCGAAGAAAAACTGTAAAATATGGCGTATTTTCTCTTTGTTGGTGTCCATCTTTGACACGCGCTCAAACAATACTGACTCAAGCAATCACAAAACTGTCTGAGAAGTTTTTTTAGTACGAAATCTTATCTTTCTAATGCCATTTGGCGTAACCCGATCTCACTTATACAACGCGAGATACAGATTACTAAAGTCATCTATTGGAAAAATAATAGATTTTTTTTACTACACCTAATATTTTGTAATCCCTTGAACATTTTCTCCTGGGTGAAAACACAAATTACACCCATACTTACCATTAAATTGGATAATCCCTTGCATACCGGGGCGTGCAACTAAATTTACACAAGTTAAAAGATACAATTTAATATCCCTGGTTTCTTCAAGTATTTTGCACGAAATGCAATATTTTTCTTTTGCATCTTTGACAAATGATAATAAAAAAAACGTTCACGTTTGGTTTGAATTTGCTGAACCATAATCCACATAAAATGGAATTATTTAATCTTACTTATGGCGGTTGTTCATTGATAATAATGTGTATTTGGTAAATAGAACATTTGGAACCCTTAAAAACCGTCAGAGTTGCAAACAGCAGTTGCAAATGTACGTTTACTACTCGCTGGTAAGCTTTTTACAAATTCTCTGTTCAATTTTCCATTGTAAATGTCACGTTTAACATTTGTGCTTTGTGATAATTTTTCTCTTACTGCTTCATAATAATTAGCATTAGATTATAATAAACATCTGATGAAATGTCAATTGTGATAAAAAAATTATTTTTTTTTAATTGTGCTTGTTTAATTGATTCTGAGCATGAGTAACATTCTATGTCACCGTCAATAAAAGAACTCACATAAGTTTAACAGTTTGGACAGATAGCGTGAAATTGTACTAAATACTATCTTTAATTTTTATGAAATGAAACTTAAGTATACGTACGAGGTCTGTTCAAAAAGTATCGCGAATTTTGAATTTCCGCGGGTTACGTATATTCGATTTTCGATTTTTTGTGGCGTTATGTTGGTACTCATGTCTCTCACTTATGCCGACAAGTTCGGCCATTTTGAATGTTCA